GGGGGGGGGGGGGGGGGGTAGACGTCTCCAGAGGGGGTGGGGGGGGGGGGAGGGAGGATCGGCGCGGCGAGGTGCGCAAGGTGGCCGATGGGTGTCGGCCCTCTCGGCCCCTCTCGGACTCTGCGGCTCTCTGCGGCTCTCGCGCCATGAACTTTTTGAGGTCGTTCATGTTGCCCATCGCCCTCGGCAGCACGCCGGAGATGCGCGTGCTCGAGACGTCGAAGTGCTCGAGGTGGTCGAGCGTCGTGAAGCCGGAGGGGAGGGTGCCCGAGATGGGCGTGTTCTTAAAATTGAGTTCCTCGACGTTGTCCCACTTGCCAATGCCGTGCGGCAGCGTGCCCGAGATGGGCGTGTCGTGGACGTAGAGGAGGGAGAGGCGCGCCATCTTGTCGAACACCTTTGGCAGCGTGCCCGAGATCTGGGTGTGATCCATCTCGAGGTCGAAGAGGTTGTCGAACTTGGCGAACGAGCCGGGGATGGTGCCCGAGAGGAAGGTCGAGTCGAGGTCGAGCTCGTAAAAGTTGTCGCAGTCGCCGAGCTCCGGGGGGATGGTGCCCGAGATGCGCGTAAAGTCGAGGTCGAGGTCCTTGAGCCGGTCGAGCTTGCCCATCTCGGGCGGGATGGTGCCTGGGGGGGAGGGGGCGGGCAGAGGGCGGGCAAGAGGGCGTGAGACGCAGCCGCAGCCCTCGCCGCGCCTCCCCCGGCGGGGAAGGTGTGTCGGCGGGGAGGGGTGTGGCGTGTGGCGGCCGGGAGGGGTGTGGGTGCGCGTGTGGCGGTGTGCCGGAGAGGCGCGTGTTGTCGAAGGAGAGGAAGTCGATGGCCTCGAGCTTGCCGTACTGGGGCGGGATGGTGCCCGAGAGCGCATTCTCCTCGATGTACATAAAGTCGAGCCGCCTCATCTTGTAGTACTTTGGCGGGAGGGTGCCTAGCCTCGCGGGACGGCGGGGTGAGGGCTCCGCCCCGCGCGGCCGTGGGGCCGTGGGGTGCGGGGTGTGCGCTGGTGCGGGGTGTGCGCTGGTGAGGGGTGTGCGCTGGTGAGGTGTGTGTGTGTGTGTGTGTGTGTGTGTATGTTTTGACACCCAAACACTCTACCTTAGCTCCTGAGGGGCGCGTGGTTTTAACCACGTAGTATGACTACAGCCCACTACAGACACCCTCCCTCTCCACACGTGTGCACACACCCTCACCCTCTCCCCTCTCCTCTCTCCTCTCCTCTCCTCTCTCTCCTCTCCTTGTCTGTGCTGTCTGCCTGACTCAGGCACTAATTCTGACAAACAAAACGATGACGTGAATGAAATCAAGCTCTGGACGCCCCTCCTCAAGACCTCCTCGCCGGGCGTTGGCAACGCCTCGAGTGGCGGCACGCCCGCCTCCGTTGGCCACTCCTACGCCTTCGGCAACACCGAAGAAAAGGCCCGCCGCCTAAACATGGGCTGCAAGGCGCGCGGGCAGCCCGGCCAACCCTTCGACCACAAGACCGGCCACGGCTACGTCAAGGCGCATCGCGGTTTCTACCACGACGCGATCTTTGTCAAGCGCAACAACTTCAACCTGCTGCTCCACGAGACGTTCGGCGGCGGCTTCTCGCCCACCGCCGTTCTCAAGCTGCGCCGCCTCACGCGCAAAGTCGCGCGCGGCAGCGTTGACCGCACGGCCTACTCGCCCAAGTACTCGCTCTCTTTTATGTCCCACCATGCAGAGCGCATCTCTCTCTCTGTTGTGCGAGGCGTGAACCGCGCCATTCGCTCTCACCTGGCAACCCTGTCTGCACGTCTCGCGCGCGCGTGAACAGGGCTCCAGGCCCCAAATTACGTGTGAGTGTTAGAGTTGTTTGGTATTGCTAAAAATCTCTCTCTCTAATTCTGCCGATGCGTGATTGTGTGTGGGCTGCTCCGAGGGGGCCCTGTGCAATCCGATGGGTAGGGAGTCTGTCTGTGCCCCGGCGGTGTCCGGTGTGGAGTCTCTCTCTGATCCCACCTGTGCTGTTGGGTGTGAGGTCGTGGAAGCTTCGATCCCAAGGGGGGGAGCCGAGCCCACTCATAACCAACTCTCAGGG